ATACAGGTGAGGCAAGGATTTGGCGTTGGAAGAGGGAGCATCATGTATGTGGGTTCACACAATTAAAAAGTAAAACCAGAATAGATATTTCCAAATTTTGAATTTTAGAAATTGAAAAGAAAAATTATTTTTTAAATATTGTTTTCATAAATTGGTCTATGAGGCATTTTTTTTTAATTTTAAAAAATAAAAACTCTGCCGTAGATTGAAACTAAATACACAGAAACTTACTTTGTTGTTTTGAGATGTTGTCTTTCTAAAAAAAACATTTTGAGACAATCAATGAACTTTTCTTTTTCTTAATTAGCAATCAATGAATGAACAACTTAGTTCGCAGTTAATATGAAAATACCATGTGCTCTTTATTTGTCATGCAAATCATTAATGAAATATCAACTATAATATGAGGTTCTATGTCATGGTTTTGTGCTGAGACCATACATCATGGAAAAAAAATCTCATCAGTGTCATGCAAATTATTTCCCTAATCATCTTAAACAAATAGATGTCTTCATGTGACTTTTTCTTATTTATTTTTATTTTATATGTTTGATTACTATAATCAATATTTTTTTGGTTCATACCCTTTCACCAGTAGTTTTATAACTGCTAGTAGCCAATGGATAAGATGACGCCGCAGAAGCTAGCAGTGTCAATATTCTCTTTTTTGTGTGTTCATATCACACATCTACTAGGACCATTACTGGGTTATTTTGAATTGTGGAAGAATATTTTTTTGGTGGAAGAATTGCACAAACTCCATAGTTTCATTTTTTTTTGGCTTTAAATGCAATAGCAAAAATAGGGACTGGGTGCAAAAATATGGTGAATGGGCCGGGGAAGTTGAGTAGATGTAGTTTTTGGGTCTTCCCTACTTTGTTGTCCAAAAATTTAAGTCTGATAAACGTTTTTATACATAATGAATGTTTTAGATTAAGACAACTGTTGTTTTTTTTTTTTAAAGACAAACTAAATACTGGAACAGATTATATATAATCATAAGAAGCATTTTTGTTTAACTTGTCTGGATTTGACAATTGTAGAAGTGTTTTAAGTACAAAATTACGTAAAAGACCTTATAAACACTTATAAAGTAACATGCTTGTTTAGAGAAAAAAAAAAGCACTTTTAGGAATATTAAAAAATTAATTTAGATAATGGTAAACTTATTCAATTATTGGAAAACTATTACCCAAACATCTTAAATTTTTTTAATAAGAACTTATTTTTAGAACTTATTTATTTATTTTTTTTAAAGTAAACAGACTTATTAATTGTTACCTACAGACTAGAAGATGTTCGGCATTATTCAAGCGAAAACAGAAGTTTAGGTTGTCAAAGTTGTTAGCTAGTGGAAAATACACTTTTAAAATCGATCATTTTTTACTTTTAAAATTGGTTATCCGGCCGATTTTAAAAAGTTTTACTTTTAACATCGGTCATTGACCGATTTTAAAAGTAAGACTTTTAACATCGGTCTTGCATCAACCGATTTTAAAAGTAAGACTTTTAACATCGCTCATACATAAATCGATTTTAAAAGTTAGACTTTTAAATTGGTAAAGGTCATTCCACTTTCCTCAAAAGGCCTAAAAGTGCAGTCTGGAACGACCAGTGCTGCAATTAGAATGACCCGTTCTGTAATCAGAATGACCCATACTGCAACCAGAACGAGTCGTACTGCAACCAGAATGGGTCGTTCTGATAGCAGTACCGGCCATTCTGCAATCAGAACAGGCCGTTTTGATTGTAGAACGTCTTGTTCTGCAACCATAACGGCCCGTTTTGGTTGAAGTACGGGCCGTTCCAAATTCGAAATTTACCAAAATGCAGTACATGAAAAAAAAATAGAATATTACCTTGATATAGTAGTCTTGAAAAAAAAATGAGAAGGGACTTTAGATGTAAGTGTGAGAGAGTAAAGAAAGAAATGGAAGGAAAGAGAATAAATATAGGCGTTGACATTTTTAAAATCGGTTATTTAAGAACCGATTTTATATATCTAGTATACAAAATCGGCTCTTAAGTAGCCGATTTTAAAAGTAGCACTTTTAAAATCAGTTCTTAAGGAGTCGATTTTAAAAGTAACACTTTTAAAATTGGCTACTTAAGAATCGATTTTAAAAGCTACTTTTAACATCGGCTCCTTAAGAACCGATTTTAAAAGTTGCATCAGAGACTTTTTAAAATCGGTTAAAAGATAGCCGATTTAAAAAGTAAGTCATTATTTACAAAATTGCCACCGCGTCACTTTTAACATCGGTTTCTTAAGAATCGATTTTAAAAGTGATTTTTTTTTTGTACAAAATTAGCTTGAACCTATATAAGTTGAACTTCATATTTTTCAGTCTGACACAAAAATAAAAATAAAAATTAAGACACAAAGAAGTACTATGGTTTAAGGAGGCGCACACGTTTAGAATATATATGATCTGGGTATTTCATGGCACTGGAGCCTCTTGTCTTGTCCTTATCTTTGTTTCCACATCTCTTCCTTTTCTTTGGTGTATCTTGCTTTGAGATTGCGCGTGCGCCTCTATGCTTATTCACATAATCCGTTTGATTTCGTTTAAAAAGTTGGAAAGTAATTAGACTTGAAAAATTATTAGATTGTTAAGTACTACATATCTTTAATCCCAACTAATATCTATACATAATATGTATATAAAGTTTTCAATTTATAAAAAAATTGTATCAACACTTGATTAGGAACTATGTGATTGAGCTTCAAGACTACCAAGTAATCTCTCCCAAAAACAACTTATTGAAAAAGAAAAAGAAATTATACATTATACATCTTTTTTGTAATTTTTTATATTCTTTTAGTCTTACATTCTAGATATAAAAGATTACACTAAATTGTATAATTTTAATTCAGAGACAAACTCTCCCAAATCAAGGATGATTCTACATGAAAAATCAAATACTTAGGCCAATAAATTATTATCAAATTAATTATTATTGTTAGTCATTAATTGATGGTTACCAATTATTTATTAACCGAGTGAGTGGAATTAACTTTATGCACTAGCTTTATGTAATGATTGTTCTTTCTTAAGTGGAGATTATCTAACTTAATTTTGTCTCATTCAACAAAAAAAGAAAAAAAAGCCACGTGCATGCATATTTAACACATCCAACTATTTACTAGGTATGCTATGCATTGTTGGTGATTAATTAATCCCCCCTAAATAAGTCTATTTACTCTTTCTTTTTAACAGTATGTAAACGTGAGGATTGGTTTGATAATGGAAATTGAATCTTACATCATTGTGCATAAAATAATAGAATTGCGAATAGGAAAAACACAAATTGGATCCTGCCTGATGCCTCATACTTATGCTAGCTAGGAACTGAATTATTTTTTGCCGTCATTACTTTATAGAAAATGACATGAAATTTTATACGGTTATCCCATTGTGCTTCGAAATTAACACTTCGCCACTAACTAAGCTGCTTAGTACTTCTATGACTTGCCTTATTTTTTAGTTGATGAGTTCCCCACCACCACTTTCTCCTCATATCATATGCTAACCGGCGTGCTCAACTTATGCTTGCAACATATATAAAACTTAGTGGTGGATGCTCCCATGCTGGTTGTTGAACTTAAGTCTGCGACGACCCATTATGTGATATCCACTCATACTTAATACCTTGCCAAAAATGGGGTTGACTCAGTGGACAAGTCTAAGCCTTATCTTCGTTGACTAATCGTTATTAATCTTTTCTGTTTTCTGCTGATCATATTGGAACATCCTTTGTTTTTTCCAATGTTCACGAATAAAACAAGCCCAGCACAGTAAACAATATGCCAATATGTCCCCGATACTAATCCACTTAGCAAATGATAATTGATTTCTGAAATTCTGATCGACCAACAAACATTTTCTTTTTTTTTAATTGTAAACCCTTAAATCAATCAATTTATGGCATGTATTAAATTGTCTCCCATAGTTTTATGTGTACTAGATAGGTATCGAATTATCCTATGAAAAAACATGTTGGTTATAATCACAATTTCACAAGGTACATATCTGAATTATATATTAAATACTAATTGACCTATTTCATAGAGATTTTTTTTAATCTGAATATCTATTTGTAGAGAATTCTAATTCTATAATTATCTAATAAATGATAATGTTCAATTATTATATAATAATAAAAGGTCTTGAATGCATTTTATTGTCTCGTCAACTAACGAGAACATTTTCTCTCTTATATGTATATATATATATATCTGAATTTCACATTTATAAGACATGCTTAATTAATTTTGAAATTATATTTATTTATTTTAGTATTAATTTTTTTTAAACACTAAAGACCAATTTTTTTTCTGACAAATACGATTTGAAAACTAATTTTTACTTGAATTAGTAACTTTTAGAAGAACTTTTTCTACACTAAGTTTACTAGTTAATTAAATACATAACGAAGGAAAATTGTAACATTAAGAGATCACCAATTACACAGCCTTGCTTGCATTCCAAACTTTCCATTTCCACACTATGATCAAACATTACAAAAAAATTAGAGGCGCCATTTTGTACCAAACACACCAAAAAAAGAAAAACAGAAAAAGCGTCACAATTCACTAAAAAACACTACAGGCATCCCCTTGTGCTACTGGACTCTGGAAATAACCTTGAATTTAATTTTATTCCAACAATGACTTAAATCCTTGTTTATGGTTTTAACTATGCTTGAACTAAGCGTTGTTGTTTTCAATGCTCTTGAATTCTTTCTGCACTATTCAGATCAATGGTAGCACCAGAGCCAAGAACATCATGTTCATTAATCTTGATAACGTAACCAACTTTAGGTCAATTAATTAGTGATCAACTCATATGAAGCTTCTGTTCTCTAGTTTTAGATTCTTGTTGCGCATGTCCAATTCCTATTTCAAATATATCGTACCAACTATAGCCATTCCGGCATAGGGTAGCGTCATAGACATGAACATCGATCGTTATCAATTTATCATTCATCATTAGATATGCTATTTCAATTTGTTTGTTACTAGAATTTGTCATTGAAACAGTACATGTAAAAGCGTTTTATTACATCAATACTTTGGCTTAAAGAAGCAAAATCTTAATATACTGAACATCGTCATCGACAGTTATTTATTAACGTCACGATTTTGAATATTCAATCAAGTACATAAACTCGGTTACACATCATTCCCACATTCTGCTTTGTAATTTTGTTCAACAAATCCCCGGCTAATTCCTTGATGATGTTGTTTATGAGTGATATAAATAGGGTATGGCGTACGTTTATAACTGGAAAGTCCTCATATCCTGTGTGAAACATTTAATTAGTTGATGAATAGATAAATTGAGTGATTGTTATTGACACAGACGTAGGCACTTACTGAGTATATTCAACATTGATTTTTGCATGAGGGAAGTGTGAAATAGCTGCGAAGGCATCATTTGACATGAGGAGAGTGTTGGGACATGGTGACTTAGGACACGAATCTACGACTTTAACATCGATGCTACCACCTTTGCATGGCCTATTGTTTCCACTTATGCACCTTATTCTGTACCGTCTTCCACAGGCTGCCCCGTTGTCCCACAACGCATCATTCACAGCCACGAATAGGTTTCCCGGAGGAAACTGCCCTGCCCTATTTCCATCGCAAGCAGTAGCTGCATGCATCAACAATCAAACAAATACTTAATTAAATATATATACACAAGACATGGCCTACAAATAATTGTGTCCACTGTCCACTTACGTATGTATGGGGGTCCATAAGAAGCAGCTGTACCAACGTCTCCAAGAACTAGGCTCACTTGTTGCAGCAATAGGCTTGAAAATACTACAAAGAGAAAGAGCCTCATGATCATGATTTGTGACAAGGATATCAAAGCTGGGATTAATTTTGCTTAATGGTACATCATATCCCGCGCGGGATCTCTCAATTTATAACCATTAACCCATGTCTTATTTAGGGGGTGTTCAAAAAACTATTTAAGTTTAGTTTTTAAAAACTAAACTATTATAAATAGTAATTTAGTGCACTTTAATTATAAAAAAAAGTTATAATTAGGAAATGTTCTAAATAATTAATTAGAATTAAATTAATAAATAACTAAATTAGATTAAACTAGAAAAAAACAAAATTATTTTTATAAAAATTGAATTAAAATGAATTTTATGTTTAATTTTATAAATATAAAATTATTTCTTAAAGAGTAGTTTGTTAGACCACCAAACTATTAATAAAACTGAATTCTCATTATTAATATCTTTTTCGTAATTTTTCAATTTTGCCTATTGCCTACTGTTGAGGTATACTAATGGCTTAGTATTACTATGCACAAATACACATTTTTGTTTTGGTTACAAAATTTTTCTATGGTGATTTAATTTACAGGATTAAAAGAAAAAATTAATTTTCATTTATTAATTGAATAAAAATTTATATACTTTTGGTAATTATTACTTTCTATATTTTTAATATAATTATTATAAAAGTTAAAAAAATGTATTATATATGTGTACAAACTTATCTCTTTATTATTCAAATAATTTTATTTTTTATGCTAAAAATATTATTATTTTAATTAAAAAATTATAATATTAATTAGTTGAGTTTAACGATTGAGTTTGTAACATTATAAAAGTAATGGTATATGTTTTTATAATATTTTTTAAAAGTCATACTATTTTGTAAAGAATGCATTAACTAAAAAATAGTTACATGTAATATTTAGATACTATTTTTAAAATTTTTATTTAATAATTAATAAAATTAGTAAACTGATTGAAAATTAGAGTCTTTATTAAGATACTTTGTTTTTGTTCATAGTCTTTGTTCTATAACATCAAATTAGTTTATAAACTAGTCAAAAAAATAAATTACTAAAATATAGCATAATAATCATGGATTATGATAAATTTATTTATTTATTTTTAGCATAAGTTTGACCGCAAAGAAATTATGAATTTAAAATTGAAAAGATGTTTTTTTTAGAATGTATTTGAATTCAGTTTATAATAATAATAATAAGTTAGTTTAGTATAAATTAATTATAGTATAATTCAAACATAAGAACTATAGTTCTCTAAAATATAAAATAATTTAGTTCAATTTTTTGAAACTATTCTTTTGTTCAATTCAGTTTAATCAATTTAGTTTAGTTTAGTTGATGTGTAGTTTAATTTAGTTTAACTATTTGAACAATCCTGATCTTAATGTATCAAGATTTTCATATTTATCACAATGTTGTATAGCATTAAAATAATAATTAATTTTGGGAATATTAAAAGAAATCATATGACACGTTTACGGTTCAATTAATTCAGATCGAGTTGTAGATGAGCTTTATGGATTCTCATGGCTGAGAGTTTTCCCTCACTTGTAGCACATCCCATTTGACTCTGCCTAGTGGTAAACTACTCATACTGGATCACGATAAGACACATTAAAAATTAATCCGATACTTCAAAATACACGTATGCATCCAATTAGAGTGTGACGCCCTACAAGATTCAAAGGCAATTTCGAACTTTCTTTTGCATATGTTAATTAAAAAGAACGGCAGACCTAGGTATATTAATGGAATATGAGAAGGCAAAGTCTTTTCTTTTTTTAATTAGTTTGATTGATATTGCAAATGATTTTTAAATTTCAAGATTTTATATTTGAGTCTTGAGTTTTATAAAAAAAGATTTTGGAAGAGATAATCATAACGTAATCAAGATTTTAATTTAAATCTTGAATTTGATAGAAAAATGATTTTAGAAGACCCTGAGGAGGCTAGTTTTCGACAAATTTAATAAATATTTCTATCAATATTATGGTATAAAAGAAAAAAGAAGTCCTTTTTTGTGCATGAACTCCACTGTCTAACGGTGGATGATGCTGGTTTACGTTCAATTCTATGAACTGTTGCACCAAATATTAATTAATCGGAATATCTACAAATTAGTTAATTTTTTTGAGGTCTCTAAGAGAAATATCTTTAATGCATGTATATTAAGTGAATATCTAGTTGCATTTTAATGAATCTTACATTATGAAATTATATTTGAGTAATTTATAAACAATTCGCTAGTTTTTTTTTTTTTTTTTGCTTTGATGATTAAATTTTAAGCAAACTTAAGATATTTACACTTTTATAGAATTTATTTGGTTTGATTAACTTTTATAGTATTTATTTGCACTTAATTCTATATGAAATTAAAATTTTAATTACCTTATAAAAAAATGTTAATTGAAAAATACTGATAAAAGTAAGCAGTGGTTGTAGAACTTCTTCCGTCGTTGATTTTTATTTTTTTATACACGTGCTTAGAATTGAGCTACCCATAAACAACTTGTGGTGAAGTTGTTTAAAAGCAAATTTTTTATTCAACAGTAATAAATATATGCATAATTTTGTTTGTAGTTGTTTAGTAGAGTAAAATTAGATGACAAATGATTGGAGTTAACAAATAAGTCTATTAGTAATTAATTATTTTGTTTGTTAGTTTCACTTGATCAACTTTTATTAATGATTCTATAAGGTTCCTTACTTTTATATATATATATATATAGTAGGGTTCAAACGAC